AATTCTATCAACTCTACATTTAAAATATATCCAGAATCATCACTTTTCCCCATCTTTATAACCATCTCCCTGAACGGAGTCCCTGAAACTTACCTGAATTACCAAAACAATTTCCTAACAGCTGATTCTACCCTTGTCCCCCACACTCGAACACAGACACACTGGCCTCTACCGTTCCAGTAGCACGCCAGGCACATCCTACAGCCTCTGATTGTTTCCCACATACCTACTTGACCAGTTCCTCTCCACTTCCAAGTCTTCCTTCCAAACTCATCTCCCCTCTGAAGTCTCCTTGATCAATATGAATCTACCCTTTGTCTCCCCTAAGCTCAATCTACTTTTTCTTTTCTATTGATAGCAACAAACACACTCTGTATTTTACTTATTATATTTATTGTTTAAGAAACATTTCCCAACCCACTCTGTTACTGCTAAAATATAAGTTCTATGCTCATAGAAATCTTTTCTTTCACATATTGATATGCTTCAAGTACTGTGAACAGTGCCTGGAACAGAGTAGGTATAAAATAAATAGTTGCTGAATGACCAAACTAACACTGGCTTTGGTATCTAAGGTAGCACTAATGGGAAAGCCTAGGTGAGGCCAGATTTAGAGACCAATAAAGCCAAGGGGAGAAAATAAAATTTGTAGCATGTATACTGAAACAAGGCTTAGTTTCTTTAAACACAAATCTATGTGGACAGCATTTGCCTACAAAATTTCTGCAAAAATGTATTGTTCAAAAGCTCTCCTATTGGAGAAAGTAAATGAAACTAATCAGGTTCATATATAAAAAAAAAACTCTTGGCACACCAACTACATAGGTTTCTTTCTTCTGTAAACTTCTGCATCTGTGTAAGATTGCCCCAGAATGATTTGCCAATTTTATTTTCTTAATCTAAGTTCTATTCTCATTACCCTTCCATTTCTGTTTTTTTATCCTCAGGGAAAGAGAGAGCAGTTACTACCAGGGCATTCTCACGTCTTCCAAAGAAATGGCATAGGTGTTAATCTTGTGTTTATGTTTGATGTGGGTAATGATGGCTATGACCGGAGCTGTAGGTTTGTTAATATGCAGGGCTCTCTCCTCATTAGTGGCGGGGTATGTTTTGAAGTTAAGCTGCAATGTTTCCTGTAATGTCGGATCTGGCCTAAGAGATTTTCTCACTGTTCATTTTCTTTGTTTTCACCCATAGTCAGTACGTGCTATGCTTATAGGGCTCTCCCATATGCCTTTTAATAAACACAACTTTCCACAGTAGTTAATTTGGTGGGTATTTCAAACATTTTTAATAATTACGTCCTCATGTGTAATTATCACACATTTGGTTTATTTTAGAGAAAAGATTTTCATAATTTTTGACTCAGTAATATAAAGTATAATAAACTCTCTCCCTGGTGTGGTTTTGGAAAGGTGTATTCTTATTAACTGGATAAGGTGATTAATTCGTAGTGACAATAAAAACATGCCACATTCTCAGCATTCAATTGTTTATAAAGTCCCCGCACATATATCTCAATCAAATCTTAAAAAGAGCAAAAGAAATAGTAACACCTGATTGAATATAACATTTGATGATCCATTATGAATAGCAACGGCTATGCTTGAATTTCCAAGACAATTTTCAGTTAACATAATATACTATCAAATAAACTAACTTTTACCAGACTAACGTGCCTCATGGGATGGGTGGTTTACCACTGCTTATTGCCCAGATTTCATTCTACTCTATAGTCCTCACTGGATATACAGTAAGGGACAGACTCCAGGTTTTCAAGAGTTTGTGTGGAAGCCATTAACTATGTTTAGTCAATTCAGTAATATACTATTTATAGATACACTTTCTATAGCTAAAATCCAGGACCACTGTACTCCAAGGAAGCCATTTAAATGTGAGAAATAGTTTGTTCTCTTTTCTCATTAGATACTGAACACATGTTCATTGCTTAATCTTTTGAAATCTGTGCTCATAAGTACAAAGCAATTTCCTTTTTTTCCCTCTGATTTTTAAGAACAGCATTAGAAAATGATGATCGGAGGATAACACAGGTACTTAGACTAAGACAAAGGGGAAGAGGTACAGATCAGTCGTTAGTATTTCTCTTTCACCATCTTCTTTTCACTGTCCTCTCACAGTGCCTAAACCAGGCTCTCCCAACCCTGTAGAACCCCTGTCTTTGATTTGACAATGTGACACATGTTCAGCTAGAATTCCCATCATCATTCATTTAGGGAAAGCAAAAATGAGTACATATGCTTTTAGGAAGGTACAGCAGTGAGCTTACGTACCAAAAGTGCATAAACAAGTATTGCCGATTTAATTGCCTTAGCTGAACTTAAAAGCTCTGATCTTTAATTGCCTGATTGAACTGATCTAAAAAGCTACAATTTTTTAATCAAGAAGAAAATTAAATAGCTTTTTGTAAATAAAAAGCCATCTTTAATCTCATTTTTATGGAATCCAAGTTATTAAATATGGACAAAACCGCTAAAATATTAAGTTAACAACTACTCAGTCTAGGGTAAATTTCTCATTACAATGCTTTACAAAAGTCTTCAGAGACACCTGGCTTCTTTGACTCTAATAAAAACACATGCTTTTAAGTCCAGAAGGTAAAAGTTTCCATGAATAGCTGGGAAACTCAAAAGCTAAATAGGAACATATCTAATGAGGTGTATTACCACAGCATATTTATTTCTATAGTTGAGTGTCCATAACTACTGGGATATAACTGTTCATCTGCACTTCAATTCATTACTCTTTCCATTTAGACAGAGGTAGGTGCACACTCATTCACTGAAATTCCTTGAAAGGACTTGTTGGCCCTCTACCACTGCTCCTACTCTGTCCCCAACAGATATATTCTTCTCATAACAGGTGGCATTTTATAGTAGGTTACTCTCTGTTGGAATTGGGCTGGCCAAGTGAAAAAATAAGTACAAACCCAGGATACCCTTTTGAAACCTCTATGCTCTCCATCAGTCAAACCACTGCAGCCTTTGTCTGTCACTGATGAAAGAGTCCTTTCTTAATCCAAGTTGCAACCAGGGATGAAAAGAAGGACCTACTGGCTTCTGAGAGGGTCTGGTCCACCAAGCTTGGCCACAGTGATCATAAAGTGGTTATAAAGAGAATCTGACCCTAGACATTATTTTTAGATCCAGACAAATCCATTTCAAACATGTCTATAAAGATCCCATTTCAAATGAAACATTTAGGCAGTTTTCCCAAATCCAGAGTAAAAATTAAAATCAAATAATTTAGATATAGGGATACTAAAGGCATATCAACTTATCAGCATAATTTCTCATTTAAAAGAAGAAAAATCAAGATAATGGCAGAATAACTAAAACATATTTCCTTATCCACCATAGTTCTTTGTGATACTAAGATTCCTTACAGAAAGTTATAGCTAGAGAGGGATTTCATTATAAGCCAGAATTAACCTGTATGCCCTACACTCACTTAAAGTGAGTACAGGATGACCCTAACACTCACTTTCTAACAAAACTCAAATTTCCATGGCACTGTCCTTTTAAAGAAAGCTTTGATACAGAGAATGAATGTTTTTCCTTCAGTTCTTTTGTCAAATGGATAGCACATGTCGATTTTTAAGAAATCAATAAATGATGAGAACTGACCATTGGGTTCTTATTAAAATGGTTATCACCACAGGTTGCTGGGTGTTTCTATAGGGAATAGAAACAGTAGTGGTTATAACATGTTTAAATACTGTTATCTCTTAACCTCGGTAGTCAAACATGTTCCATTTTTCTTTCATCCACCGAATGTGTTTACATACTTATTTATACCGAGTGAAAGTAATACTAACATAACTCACTCTCCCTATATCTACATTTTACACCGACTATACTCTAGAAATGGAGTGGACTGCCTTTAAAAAGAAATCTAGTTTATGATTCCATTTACTCAGTATAAATACCGCAAAACCCTGAATATTTTATTTGTCAAAATCTAGATAACCCTCATTAAAAGAAGGATTTAAGAAGAAATGCAGAATCAGTAGGATATTAAAACCACCACAAAAGAAAACAACCCTTAGTGACAGATATGACATCACAGTTGAAAATATCAGTTGTTTTCTCCATCTCAGTTTACACCCTTTTTTAAAAAAAAAAAAAAAAAACCCTTTCCTTTAATCACATCTAATGTGTATGCTGTTGCATTCCCCAAATGTACATAAAGCTAAGAAGAGCAGATGTGTAAAATTAAACAGCACTGTTAGTAACATTAAGCCTTGAAGTTGCTTTATGATAGTCTCTTTCTCACTTAATAATTTGCTCCAAATGAATTCAGATATTTTGGGCACGTTAAAAAAAAAGGAGATTCCTTTTGCAATATTCAACAGTTATCTGATTATTCTCTCATGTGTTCTGTTACTAGACAAGGGGACTATTCCTGATGCTTTCACCAACATCTTATTTAAAGTTTTACTTTTGGCCAGGTGTGGTGGCTCACACCTGAATCCTAGGACATTGGGAGACGAAGGTAGGAGGATTGCTTGAGGCTAGGAATTTAAGACCAACTTGGTCAACATAGCAAGACCCCATCTTTTAAAAAAAATTACAAAGTTTTACTTTCCAGGTATGTGAAGCAATCTCTTAAGGAACAGTGTGTGGTGATATCTGAAATGTTAATAGAAGGAAGGATGTAATTGTACAGAAAGTGAAGGTTTTGCATTAACAAGGGTTAAGTAAGACAAACAAGATCTTGTCGGCTTCAAATACTATGAAATATCTTTTTACAAGTTTGACAAAGGTGATTCACAAAAACATACTACCAAGTTTATAATCTAAATGAGAGCAGTTGATGGAGAAAACAAGAAAAATAATATTTATAAAGCAGTCATCTTTTTGACTACCAGATATATCAGCTGCTTTAAATGTTAGAACACTTACTCCCTTTAAAAATCAAGGTATCTTGAGAAACCCACCCCCACCCCAAATTAAGTCCAAGCTTATAAGCCCAGCACATACCTCTATGTAAAATCTTTAAACTCCACAAATAAGTAAGGCCTTTAACAACCTAAATTTAGGAAAAAGAAAACAGTACAATTATCAATTATGGTTTTTATAAGAAACTTTCCATATTTAAATATATCAACTTCTTTTTTTTTTTTTGAGACAGGGTCTTGCCCTGTCACCTAGGCTGAAGTGCTGTGGGATACAATCACTGCTCACTGTAGCCTTGACCTCGTGGGCTCAAGCAATTCTCCCACCTCAGCTGCCTGAGTAGATGGGACCACAGGTGTGTACCACCATGCCCGGATAATTTCTTCTTCTTTTTTTTTTTTTTTTTGGTAGAAACAGGGATCTCATTAATGTTGCCTAAGCTGGTCTTGAACTCCTGGGCTTAAGTGATCCTCCTGCCTTGGCCTCCCAAAGTGCTAGGGTTACAGGCGCAAACCACCACATGCAGCCTAACTTTTCCTTTAAAACTCTGTCAACCAATAAGCATTTACTGAACATCTCTCATTTCTGTGTGAGGCTCTGAGGGAACACCAAATGTTAAAGCCACAGGTTTCTTCCTTTAATGTGCTCATACTGTTCTGAGGATACGGTACTCCAAAAGAAAGAAATAAGTACACGTGTATATAAAATGATCTGGAAGTATATATGCTAAATTCATAATGATGCTAAGCCAGGCAAGGAGAGAGACAGGAAAAAGGGACAATGGCTTTCTTAATTTTCTGTATTTCTGTGTGTAAAACCTTCTTTGAAGTCATGACACTTATGACCAAGGAGAGACTTTTTTTCTGAGGCAGGATCTCACTCTGTTGCCCAGGCTGGAGTGCAGTGGTGCAGTCATAGCACACTGTAACTTCAAACTCCTGGGATCAAACAATCCTCCCGCCTCAGCCTCCTGAGTAGGTGGGACTACAGGTGCACACCATTATACCTTGTTAATTTAAAAATATTTTTTGAAGGGATATGATTTCGTTTTGTTATCCAGGCTGGTTTTGAACTCCTAGACTTAAGGGATCCATCTGCCTCGGCCTCCCAAATCTCTGGAACCACAGGTGGGAGTCACGGTGCCTGGCCTGAAGAGACATTTTTTTAAAAGTTAACTAATGAAATAAGGCAGTGGGTAGAATAGAAACTGCTTTTCCTATTGGTAGTCAGAAAGGCTTACTAACGTGTTGCCTCTTGAGTAACGAATTTAACTTAAATGAAAAAAGGGAAGGAAGTGTTTAGGTCAAGGTAAAAATATACAATCAAAGTGTTGGGGCAGTATACTCTCCAACATGTCAAAGTCATGAAAGACAAGGAAACGCTGAGGTGTTAGAGAGGCAGGCAGCGAATAATCCTAGACTGGAAGTAGAGCAGAATTTTTTTCCTTTGGTCTATAGAGGGTACTACTGAACAACTGGTGAAATTTGAATAAGGGCTATTGAGTAGATAATAGTATTATATCCATACTAGTTTCCCAATTTTAATCAGTGATTACATAAGATAATGTCTTTGTTCTTAGGAAATAGATACCTAACATATTTTGGGATAAAGGCTGTGGTCTCTGTAACTTATTCTCAAATGTTTCAGGAAAAAATTTGTATATAGATTTTTAACCAAATGTGGTAAACTGTTAACAACTGGGGAATATGGATGAAGCATCATCTGTGGGAATTTTTTGTATTAGTCTCACATCTTTTCTATAAGTTCAAAACAATCTCAAAATAAAAAGTTTCCCCAAAATTTATAAAGTATATTGGGGGTAGGAAAGAACAAAGTATGTCAAGATGGTCCTCACAAGCCAGTCTGGCTGGTGCAAAGCATATATGTTGACAAGGCACAGTACTGAAAGGGCAGATTAAGAAAATAAAATGAGAAAATAAAAACATCTGAATTAGATTTGCATCTGTCACTTTCATAGCCTGAGTTAAGAATCATCAGTCAAATGAGATACTGAAACAAAGATGTTTCCATGACCCTAAGTACATGGGTTATAAGTTCTACCTACTATGTGGAAAATTTAATCAGTCGTTGCCATTAATAACTTTAAAAATCTTTACGTATAAATAGCTATGAAAGGAAATGCACGTTTTATTCATAACCACTGACCCTATATGAGTCAATGCATGAGTGTGAACTTAGAAATTTCAAGGTTGATTATTCATAGATACAAGATACACTGAACGAATCACCGTTAGTCAAAATTTACTGTAAGAATTTAAAAATATCCATCATTATAGAGAATTCTGGGTGAGTCAGGAATATAAGAACAAGAAAACCTACCATTACCATGAGAAGTAACTGAGTGATTTACGTATCTTGAAAATGGTAAAAAGAGGGTTAGGGGATAAATATGCAAGGATTCTAGTTGATCAAGGAAGCTTAAGAGCAACTGTAAAATAAAAAATGCAGGCTGGGCACGGTGGCTCATGTCTGTAATCCCAGCACTTTGGGAGGACGAGGTGGGTGGATCACGAGGTCAGAAGATTGACATCATCGTGGCTAACATGGTGAAACCCTGTCTTTACTAAAAATACAAAAAATTAGCTGGGCGTGGTGGCGCATGCCTGTAATCCCAGCTACTAGGGAGGCTGAGGCAGGAGAATTGCCTGAACCCAGGATGCAAAGGTTGTAGTGAGCCAAGATTGCAACACTGCACTCCAGCCTGGGTAACAGAGTGAGAAGAAAGAAAGGAAAAAAAGGAAAGAAAAGGAAGGAAGGAGGGAAGGAGGGAAGGAAGGAGGGAGGGAAGGAGGGAGGGAAGGAGGGAGGGAAGGAGGGAAGGAAGGAGGGAAGGAGGGAGGGAAGGAGGGAGGGAGGGAAGGAAGGAAAGAAATGCAATGGGAGAAAGCCAATATCCAAATACTAAAGATCTAGAAGACAAAATCTGTATCAATGAATACTGAGCAGAGGTTAACTTATTTTAATTGTTCTCATAGGGTGCAATGTACTCCTGAAAGATTTGCTAACATAGATTCATCAATTCCAGTACATGTTTGTCTATTCTAAGAGAACAACATACGTTTTTATAACAAATGACTTCTTCCAGAGTTTGGAAATAATTGGCATTACAATAAAACACATGTGTTCTGGACAGTTAACACAAAAAGAAAATATCAAAATATTAATAAGATAATTTTATCACAGAAGGAAACATAAAAATATTTCTTTAAATGTTTATAAAAATTAACATCCATAATGAAAACAATTTTCTCTTTGAGTAACAGGAGGAAGTCATCTTATTTAGCATGGGGGTAATCATCTTCTCCATTCTGAGGAAGTAGGGTTAAAATTTTCAACTTAGAAGCTTAGTTGAATATTATAAAACCTATCCATTAAACACAGCTCACCACTAAAAACTGGTTCTATACAAAATGAATTTTCAGAAAACATGTAGGGAAAGGCAATCCAATATATTCGAACTGTCGGGTAGCAAAAAGTAAAACAAATACTGATTTTATAATATTTGCTAAAATTTTACATTTTGTTAGAGATTCAAAATGAAAATATTCTTCGACAAAATATTCTACACTTTTCCTTAGAAACATCTAAATTCTGGTGAAAAAGGAGCTAGAAATCCGTGAACTGAAAATCTAAAGGATATTATTGGTATTCAGTACGCTGGGTTTCACAACAATGACTTGACAAAGCCTTGACACTAAAAGTCCTTGTATCTGTTGTCAATCACTCGCTCCTTGACATGTCAAGTGCACATCCTTTCAGGGACAACGTCAATCAACATTAGCACTCAAAATACAGTACACAGTGTCACTGCTTCAGAAATGAGAAGAAAAATAGAATGTATTAGGTGGCAGGGAAAGGCAGAAAGGTACTCCTCTTTACAGAAGACCAGATTCGAATGGATAGAAGAGAAAAACTACTGGGCAAGTTGGAAGGCTGAAATCAGCTATATATAAATTTCTTTGGGTTAAAAAAAATGCTCTCTTACCATACATTTCACAAGAGGAAATTTTAATAACATAACACAGAGGCCAACAGAGGTCCATACTATAATGAACCTTGGACCTATGAACCTGCCTTGCATGTCAGATTATTAGACCCTGGAAAATAAAGTTAATTTGGGAAAAGAGAGGTACCTAAAGATATGAAAATAATCTGAAGCAATTGCATGTGTTGCTCCATTATTCTCTCAATAAGTCTCCCTTTTTATATTTTAGCCTAGCTCTTTCTTTCACTCCTGCCTCTATTTTTTTTTTTCTCTCTTCTCATTCTGTCAGGAAAACACACTGAGAAAGCAAGGGGTCTGGTATCAGATAGCCCTGTGTTCAAATGTGTACTGACTAATTAGATTGTAACTCTGGGCAACCTGGTTAACTTTTCTAAACCTCATCTTGCATATGCACAGAATATGTTCAATAATCTACACTTTACATGGTGGCTGTAATGGCTAAATGGCATAGTATTTGCATAGAAAGCATGCAATGGTGATTGGCACAGGAATCGTTCAATGGACACCTATTTCCCTACTCTCTCTTTCTGATTCTGCTACTTTTGCCTTGGCAACAGCATCCATGTGCTTTCTTGGCCTCAATGAAGAAACTCAAGGAAGAGATGTTGATGCCATCTTCAGTACACTTTAAGAGAGATAACCAGGGACACTGGGAACACAGTCAGACTGTTTAGTTTACACGTCATAACCGACAGCTGATCAATTCGTTAGTCTTACTCTGACTTGTACAAACCTCCTGGGGTCAGGTCTTAGCCATGGGCCAATTTGCTGTTTGTCAGCTGCAACAAATGATAATACAAATTTGTAGCCTACTCAGATTACATATTTAAAAAAACACAGTTTGGAGGCATTATACAAACGTAGGTTCCAGCAGAATTTATTAAAAGTGGCAGACAAAGAGCAAAATTATCAAAAGCATTTCTTCCCCTCCAGCTATAAGAAGTTTTCATTACTATGACCTGATGAGCCACAAAAGCTGGAGAAATGAGACACATATTTAGGGGGAAAGCCTTAATTTAAAAAAGGGCAAATATCAATCCTGTGGAATAGCACTTACTTTAATGCCTTTCACTAAAATAATGTGTGTCATATTTCCATTCACTTAATAGGCAAGCCCTGTATTTGACGCTGAATTATTTTTTCTGCTGACTCTATTCACTTCAACAGTCTTCCTACTCCAGTGGAATCAAAAAGATGAGTGGCCTTGTGTGGATGCCCCAAACAAGAGGGAGGTAAGATTTATGGAGTTCACGAAGAATATGTTTCTCTACTGAAGACGGCAGATTTCTATTTTTGCCAAGTTCCATAGATAATTGAGTATACAGAACTTTTATACTTTTCTTCTTTTTCAACTGGTATCCTTGCCTTTTTTTGCCCTTTATTGTACATGTTATTAAACTTTACAGCCAAGAACTGCCAAAAGCCGCAAAGCAATCAATCTCTCCTGAGATTAGAACAGGAAACGAAACATATTTTTCATCTAAAATAGTGATTCAAGTACTCAAATTTCATATGAATCTACCTACACATGTAGATGAGAAGCAACTTAGAGCGACAGCATCAGAAAAGAAAGTTCTCATCACCCAGGGCAGTTCACACTAACAATTAGGAAGAAAAAAGGAAAGCTGTGAATTACAATGAACTAAGACTAAATAAGTGTCCATGTTGGATTAAAGAATTTGAGTTGTCATTTTGATGTATAATGAATGTGAAAATCAGCCATTTAATTAAATGGTACATGGTACAATCACTTTGTTCTGCATTAAACCACCGACGTTAGAGTGCTTTTAGTTTAGCAATTGTTTACTATTACACCACCCATGACTTCTCTCAGACACTGTTTAACCTACATTATTCTCAATGTGAAATTTGGAACTTAGGAGAACATTATAGTAATGTTAGTTTAGTTGATATATTTCATCAATATATTAGTGCATATAGAAAATAGAGGAATATGGGGAAACTGCTTTAAATCACAAAAGGAATAAATTTCTAGATGTAGTTGATGAAAAAATGAAAAACCAAGAACATAAAAAAACTGCAAAAAGTCTTTACATAGACTGCTTTAATAACTCAGACTTTTAAATATTTGTGAATCATGCCTACAACTACAAAATGTAAAAACACAAAAAAAGCAGTTTTTTTTGTTTTTTTTTTTGAAGAAGAATTTGGACATTTTATGAGTCAACAAGAACACCAAGGTCCCTGCAAACACATGAACAGGCTGGAGTTCATAAGCGTGTGACTATGTTGTGATAGCGGGTGGGGTGGTCTATGAAAAGAAGAAAGAACAGAACAGTTAAGAAGGTCTTGGCAGCCAACTGAGATTGAAGAACAAGAAAAAACATTCTGAGAATATAAGAAGAATGTGCTTGATTAGAAGGATTAAAACATTCATATTTTCTAACACTGAAGCCATATACTCACTGCTACTGCAATTCTTCCAAGGACATGTTCTGGGATTTTCCTATATACATCCAAAGATCCCCCTGTAGAGACAAACGTGCCATGTTACCACAAATGAAACTACCAGAGCAGTGCACTGGGCTCCTCCTCTGTGCACGCACTGTGAGAACATGTTTCCACCCTTCCTGCACCACACACTGGATGTGTAGTAGAAACTTGTTTTTAGTCCCATGTTACCTATAACATAATCATACTTCCTCATGAAGTATAACTGGATAATTCCATTTTATTTCTAAGTGTATAGTCACAATTGAAAAATTGTGAAAAATTGAAAGAAACTAGCCAAGGGCCAGCTAAGAAACTACACCTTATGTAAACTAAAATACATACACAAAATTATCAAGATCAACATGGATAATGACATTTAGGTGCCTGCCTTTTGTAACAGTTTTTCTCAAATGTAAACCAGGGTACTATGATAGAATTTTTCATATTAACCCAACAAAAGCTAGAATACATGCAGAGAACCACTACTTCGCTCCTTAATGATATGATTATGAGATCTGTTTTAATAATATGTAATAACCTTTAAGAGTCAAATTGAAGTATATCAGTCTTTCAGTTCTATAAAAAATTATTAGAGTATTTGACAAATATTTTTTCCTATCAGAGGCTAAAATTCATATTTAACACTGTATTACTGGTTGACCTATAAGTATGCCTCGTAAGGTACTAAACATGAAGTATGTCATTCTTTTGAAATGCAAATGTGAATATTTTCATGTCAAGTTTTTATAAAACTGAACATCAGAGAAAATATTATTTTTCTCTGTAAAAATAGTGAATGCATATATAAACCTATATGCATGCAAGTACACATATATACACATATAGACACATGCATATATATGTGGCTACTGGCGTTTCATTTATCTTATTTAAAGCAGATAGAGAAAAATGATCCCTCTTAGTTACCCTTGGCTTGTAGTTTCCAGATTTGAACAAGAAACTAGGAAACCACAGTGTAAGTAAACGTTACACTCTGGCTCTGGGCGCTACTGGGAAGATAACGGAAAAAAGACACTTCTGCTATGAACTGAACCATCCATATTGACTAAAATGACATTTTCATTATAGATGCAATAAAAGTGAAAATACTGCAGAAAAACATTTTATGTTCTCATTGATCTTTCACATAAATTGGCAGTAGCAAGGATAAACAAAATAAAAAAGATCAAGCTTTACATGCTGGCATTTGGAAGACTGACAAATGGAGCTTATTGGACCAATCCCTTATGAAGTGAATGATCTGACTGGCTCAAAACTAGGAGGTGAAAACTCATCCACATGTACCAGTAACAACTTCTAAGAGGGCATTTATTTCTACAAAGGATATAAATCAGGGCTTATTTGACTAAATGGACAATGGTTTCAACAAGCTAACCCCAAAAAAACAAAGATTACTTGACCACCATTATCAGTAGAAGAAGCCAGAAAGGAATCTCATTTTGAGGTAGTTCATTGGTTTTTAACCTCAGTTAGACCCACTTTTCTTAACTATCCATATGGCTAAATGTTTTTTTTCCTTTTTTTGAGATAGAGTCTCCCTCTGTTGCCCAGGCTGGAGTACAGTGGTGAGATCTTGGCTCACCACAACCTCTGCCTCCTGTGTTCAAGCAATTCTCCTGCCTCAGCCTCCTGAGTGGGGGATTACAGGTGCTTACCACTATGCCTGGCTAATTTTTGCATTTTTAGTAGAGATGGGGTTTCACTCTGTTGGCCAGGCTGGTCTCGAACTCCTGACCTCATGATCCGCCTGCCTCAGCCTCCCAACATGCTGGAATTACAGGTGTGAGCCACTGTGCCCAGCCCCATATGGCTAAATCTTTACACAGCTGGCTCCATGACATCACTGATTCATCTTGTCTTTTCATGTCCATTAGAGATAAATGTCATAGGTGAAAAAATAATGCAGCAGATCCACTCAGAATTAAGAGTTCCTTGGCCAGGCGCGGTGGCTCATGCCTGTAATCTCAGCACTTTGGGAAGCCAAGGTGGGTGGATCACGAGGTCAGAAGTTCAAGACCAGCCTGGCCAAGACGGTGAAAGCCTGTTTCTACTAAAAATACAAAAATTAGCAGGGCACAGTGGCAGGCACCTGTAATCTCAGCTACTCAGGAGGCTGTGGCAGGAGAACTGCTTCAACCCAGGCAGCAGAGGTTACAGTAAGCCCAGAGCATGCTACCGCACTCCAGCCTGGGACATAGAGTGAGACTCTGCCTCAAAAAAAAAAAAAAAAGTTTCTGTGAGTTCTTTTTCTGCATTTCAGTTAATTCGTATCAGGCTAAAAGTGGCAGGGGGTTGGTTGAATTTTTCCCTGTTTTATTCTATCCTACAGGTCTATCCAAAAATGCAGCTCTTGGACCTATCAAACATTAGTGCAGGAAACGATGTTAAAGATCAGTCCGGCCAGGCGTGGTGGCTCACGCCTGTAATCCCAGCACTTTGGGAGTCCAAGGCAGGTGGATCACCTGAGTTTAGGTGTTCGAGACCAGCCTGGCAAATACAGTGAAACCCCATCTCTACTAAAAATACAAAAATTAGCCGAGTGTGGTGGTGGGCACCTGTAATCTCAGCTACTCCTGCTAAGGCAGGAGAATTGCTTGAACCCAGGAGGAGGAGGTTGCAGTAAGCTGAGATCGCGCCACTGCACTCCAGCCTGGGCAACAAGAGTAAGACTCCATCTCAAAAAAATATATCATTCCAGCAACTTTGACAGGCAGGGAAAACAGTCCCAGCAATGTGAATGTTCTAGGTAAAGCCCGAGTCAACCGATAGCAGAGCTCAGAGAAGACCTGAACCTTTGAAGTTTCATAAGTTAGAGATTTAAAAGGTGGCTGGGCACAGTGTCTCTCACCTTCAATCCCAGCACTTTGGGAGGCCAAGGCATGTGAATCATGTGAGGTCAGGAGTTTGAGACCAGCCTAGGAAACATGGCAAAACCTTGTCTCTACCAAAAATACAAAAATTAGCTGGGCATGGTGGCACACGCTTGTAGACCCAGTTACTTAGGAGGCTGAGGCAGGAGAATCATTTGAATCTGAAAGACGAAGGCTGCAATGAGCAGGTTGCATCACTGCACTCCAGCCTGGGTAACAGAGTGAGATATTGCCTCAAAAGAAAAAAAAAAAAAGATTTAAAAGCTTTCCTCATGATGTAACATAGCTTGAGAATCACATGTGAACTTTCTGCAGTTTAAAAAGTCTCATGCAATGTGATACGAAGACATACATTGCCAGAATTTAATTTTAGCTGAGATGGTGTTATTCAAGGCATTTAGAAACTCATTCATTTGTGGCTTGGTAGTTTGAACTTTTTGCTTGAGATTCCAAGGTTACTGGTTTGTTCCCTGCGACCTGTCACTTCTCTTTGTTCCCAGAAGTAACCAAATAGAAATTCTGAAGTTGAAATGTATAATAAGTGAAAATTTATTAGAGAGGATCAACAGTGTATTAGAGAAAGCAGAAGAAATGATCAAGGGAGGTAAAGGTCAACTGAGATGATCCTGTCTGATGATGAAAACAAAAGAAAATGAAGACAAATGAACACATTCTCAGAGACCTGTAGAATACTATCCAGCATACAAACGTATGCATAATGGGAGATGAGAAACAGAAGAGAAAAGGGAAGGAGCAGAAAGAATATCTGAGGAAATAATGACCCCAAACTTCTTAAATTTAGTTTTAAAAAGTGAATCTATACATCCAAGAAGCTCAATATACTTCACATAGGAAAAACTCAAAGAGATCCATACATTATTATCAAATTATCTATAGCCAAAGATAAAAGAAAATCTTGAAAGCAGCAAGATAGGTGACATGTCAATTACAAAAAAAAAAAAAAAAAAATCCTCAAAAAGATCAAGAGCTGATTATACATCAGAAACCACAAAGGTCAGAGGCAGGAGAATGACATATTTGAACAACTGAAAGAAGACTATAAACCAAAAATTCTATATCCAGCAAAAAACTATTCTATGAAACCAAAGGATAAATTAAGACACTCTCAAATAAACTGGGAAATTTATCTCAGAATATTGAGAATCAATCAATAGTTGACCTACCCTCCAAGAAATGAAATACAGTCTTTCAGACTAAAGGAACTTTAGACTGAACATAAAAGTCTCAGATCCATGTGAAGAAATAAAGAACACTGGTAAAGGTAACTGCATACGTAAATATAAAAGACAGGATAAATGTATGTTTTGTTTGTATCTCTTCTGTTCTCCTATATGATTTAAGAGACAATTGCATAATTTTAAATTTGTGTTAGATACACAATATGTAAGAATGTCACTTATATGACAATAATAGCATAGAAGAGATGAGAAGAAATTGAGCTATATAGAAGTAAAGTTTTTGTATACGATTAAAATAAAGTTAGTACTAATCTGAATTAAATTATTGTAAGTTAAGAAGTTAATTGTAATACCTAGGGCAACATTAAGACTATAACTCAAAAAAATAGAGTAAAAGAAACCATGGGGAATTTAAATGGTATATTAGAAAATATCTATTTGACATAAAAGAAAGCAATAACAGGAGAACATGAAAGGCATGACTTATAGAAAACAAATAGAATGGGGATATAAATCTCACCTTGCTAGTAATTAAATAAATGTAAATGGTTTAAGCATTCTAATTAAATAAGAGATTGGCAGAGTTAATTATTTAAAAAAATGATCCAACTACATGCTGTCTACAACAGAGGTGCTTTATATTTAAAGACACAAACAGGTTAAAAAATGATGGAAAATGATATACCATTTAAACAGTAATCAACAGGGAGCTGGAGTGACTATACTAGTGGAAAAAATAGACTTTTAGATACTTTTTGTTAAATGTTGTTACTAGAGACAAACACATTTTCTAATGATAAAAGGATCAATCCACCAAGAAGCTATAACAATTATAAACATGCATGCACCTAACAACAGAGTGCCAAAATATATGAAACATAAACTGAAAGAACTGAAAGGAGAAATAGACAACTCAAAAATATTAGTTTTTGAGACTTCAATACCTCACTTTAAAAAATGGACAAAACTAAACAAAAGATTAGTAAGAAAATACTAAGCAGTATTATAAACCAATCAGAATTAACTGACATGTAAAGGGTACTTCACTTACCAACAGAATACATTCTTCTCAAATGCACATATGTGGAAATTAAGCAACATATACCTAAATAAAAATGGGTCGAAAAGAAATCACAAGAGATTTCTGTCACAGAAAAATAGAAAATACTTTAAGATTAATGAAAATAAAAACACAACATACCAAAACTTCTAGGATGCAACTAAAGCACTGCTTAGAGGAAAATTTATAACCTACATTAAATAAAAAGAAAGATCTCAAATCAGCATCCTAACTTTCTACCTTAAATAAATAGAGAACATCAAGTTAAAACTAAACTCAAAAGCAGAAAAAATGAAATAATAAAATTAAAGGAGACATAAACAAAATAGAGAATAGAAAAAACAATAGCGAAAATCAATGAAACCACAAGTTGGTTTCAATTTAAATGAAAAAAAACTTTTTTTTTTAAAAAAAAAAAAAAAAACAGAGAAACTGACAAACTTTTAGCTACACTGACCAAGAAAATAAGTGAGGAGACTCAAGTAACTAAAACCTGGAATAGAAGAGAGAACACGACTACCAAGTTTGCAGAAATAAAAAGGATTATAAGAGAATTTTTGGAACAACTATGTACCAATAAATTAGATAACCTTGATAAAATAGATGAATTCCGAGAAAAACACAAACCACCAAAACTAAACCAAGAAAAAATAAAAAATCTGACTAAACCTGTATATAAATAGTAAAGAGATGGAGTTAGTAATAAAAAAAAAACTAACCACAAATATTATGCAGCTTTTAAAAGGAAGAAAATTCTGACACATGCTACAAGATGGATGAACCTTAAGGACATAATACAAAATGAAATAAGCCGGACACAAAAAGACAAATACTGTGTGCCTCCAATCATATGAGGTACCTAGAGTAGTCAAATTAATAGAGACAGAGTATAACGTTGTTTGCCAGGGGCTGGGAGGTGGAGTGAATGAGGAGTTCTTATTTAATAGGTATAGAGTTTCAGTTTTGCAAGACAAAAAGAGTCCTGGAGATGGATGGTAGTGACAGTTGCACAATCATGTTAATGTACTTTGTGCTGCTGAATTATACACTTAAAAATGGCTGATACAATTTGAATATTTGGCCCCTAGAAAACTCATGCTGAAATCTGATTCTCAATGTTGAAAACAGGGCCTAGTGAGATGTGTTGGGTCAAAGGGGAGGATCCTGCCTAAATGATTTGGTGCCATTCTCACATAATTGAGTTCTCACTCTTAGTTCCCACAAGATTTGGTTCTTAAGAAGTGTCTGGGGCCTTTCTCCTCTCCTCTTGCTCCATTAATGGAAGCTTCCTGAGGCCCAGACCAGAAACAGATGCTGGGCACCATGCTTCTTGTACAGCCTGCAAAATCATGAGCCAAATAAATCCCTTTTCTTTATAAATTACCTAGTCTTCGGTATTCCTTTATAGGAACACAAAATTGACTAGTATAATAAAAAATTTTTTTATAAGTATTACATCACAATTTTTAAAAAACACACTAATGACACACCCAAAAACCCCAGAACCAGATGGCTTCATTGGTGAATTCTATCAAATGTTTGAAGAATTAACATCAGGCATTTGAAAAAATGTTCGCCATTACTAATCATCAGGGAAACGCAAATCAAAACCACAGATATATCCTCTCCCTCCAGCTGAAATGGCTTTTATCAAATAGACAGGGAATAACAGATGCTGGCAAGGATGTGGAAAAAGGGGAACCTTCATACACTATTGATGAGAATATAAATTAGTACAGCTACCATGAAAAATAGTATAGAAATTCCTCAAAAATCTAAAAATAGAACTACCTTATTATGATCCAGTAATTTCACCATTAAGTATACATCCAAAAGAAAGGAAATCAGTAAACTGAAGAGATATGAGCACTCTAATGTTGACTGCAGTACTATTACAATAGCCAAGATATGGAATCAACCTAAGTGTGCATCAAAGAAAAATAAAGAAAAGAAAGATAAAGAAAATGTGGTACATAAACACATGAAGTATTATTCAGCCACAAAAAGAATGAAATCCTGTTATTTGTAAGAACATGAGTGAATATTATGTTAAGTGAAATAATCCAGGCACAGAAAGACATTCTCACTCATATGTGGGAGCCAAAAACAAATGATCATGGAGACATATCAGAATGATGATTATCAGAGGCTGGGAAAGGTAGTCAGGAAGGAAGGACAAAGAGGGATTGGTTAACGGGTAAAAAATATAGTCAGATATAAAGAATAAGACTCAGTGTTTGGTACCACAACAGGGTGACCATAGTTAACATTAATTTATTGTGTATTTCAAAATAACTACAGAAGCGGAATTGGAATGCTCCTAACGCAAAGAAATGATAAATTTTTGAGGTCATGCATATCTCCATTACTCTGAGTTGACTACTACACATTGTACGCTTGTTGTCAAATATTATTATACATGTATTCCATAAATGTGTACAATATTATGTATCCATAAAAATTTTTATTTATATATGTGTGTGTGTGTATATGTATGTGTGTGTGTGTATGTATATATATTTTTTAGATGGAGTCTCTCTCTGTCACCCAGGCTGGAGTGCAGTGGCACAATCTTGGCTCACTGCAACCTCCACCTCCCAGGTTCAAGCGATTCTCCTGCCACAGCCTCCCAAGTAGCTAGGATTACAGGCATGTGCTACCACACGAGGCTAATTAAAAATTTTTTTTTTTATTTTTAGTAGAGACGGGGTTACACCATGTTGGCCAGGCTGGTCTCAAACTCCTGACCTCAAGTGATCCTCCTGCCTCAGCCTCTCAAAGTTCTTGGATTACAGGTGTGAGCTATCACACCTGGCCCATAAAAATTTTTTAAAAATGAATTAACATCACTCCTTCATAAGCTCTTTCAAAAAAGAGAAGAGGAGGTAACACTTTTGAGCTCATTCTATAAGGCCAGAATTATCCTGATACCAAAGCCAACACTGACATCACACACACCAAAAAAACTACAGACCAATGTCCCTCATAAATGTGAATACAAATATTGTCAAGAAAATGCTAGCAAACTGAACCCAGAACATATAAAAAGAATTACACATCATGACTAAGTGGAATAATTCCAACATTGCAAGACTGGTTCACTTTGCAAAAATCAATTAATATAGTATACCACATCTTAACAGAATAAAAGACCAAATACACGATTATTTCAATAGACAGAAAAGGCATTTAACAAAATTTAATAGCCTTTCATGATTAAAAAAAAAAAAAAGTATTCAACTAACTAGAAATAGAAGGGAACTTCCTCAACCTGATAAAGGGCAACTATCCCAAACCCATGGTTAACATACTTAATGGTGAAAGACTGAAAGTTCTCCCTCTAAACTTAGGAACAAGAGAAGGATGTCTGCTCTCATCAATCTATTCAACATTGCACTGAAGATTCCAGCCAGGGTAATCAAATAAGAAAAAGAAGTCAAAGGCATCCAGAATTGAAAAGAAAGCAGTAAAACTACCTCTGTTTGCGATGGCATTATCTTGTGTATTGAGAACCCTAAGGAATCCACAAAGAGCTATTAAAGTTAGTAAGCAAGTTCAGCAAGGTTGCAGAATACAAGATCAATATACAAAAATCAATTACAGTTCTATACACTGGCAATGAACGATCCAAAAATGAAATTAAGAAAAATAGCATTAAAAATACTTAGAAATAAATTTAACAAATAATTACCACTGATGCACTAAATATTATTTTTAAAAAATCAAGAAACAATTAAAGAAGCCCTAAGTAAGCTGAAAGACATCTGTGTTCATGGAATGAAAGACTAAATAATGTTACAACAGCACTACTCCCCAAGTTGATCTAAAAATTCAATTCAATCCTTATCAAAATCCCAGCTGGATTTTTTGGAGAAACTGCCAAGTTGATTCTAAAATTCAAATTAAAATGCTAGGTATCCAAAATGGCCAAAATAATCTTGAAAAACAACAAAGTTGGAGCACTTAACACTTCTCAATTCAAAACTTATAAAACTATAATAATCTAGAGTGATCATCAGGTACAAGTAATCAAATATATGTGGTGCTGGTCCAAAGACAGACAAATAGAACAATGCAGGATGTATGTGCATTGATCTAAAAGCACAGAAATACATTTTATGGGCAATTTTCAACAGGTATAACCAGAAAATTCAATGGCAAAAATAGTCTTTTTAATAAATGATACTGGAACAAATGGATATCTACATGTGAAAGAATAAATTTGGACCCCACCTCACATCATGTATAACTTAACTCAAAAATAAATCAAAGACTTACATATAAGAGCTAAAACAATAAAACTTGAGGCTGATGTGGGAAGATCATTTGAGCCCAGGATTCAAAACCATCCTGGGCAACAAAATGAGACTGTATCTCAAAATAAATAAATAGGTTTAAAAAAAAAGTGAAAAGATAACCAAAGAGTGAAAATGCTTGAAAATCCTGTATCTGATAAGAGCCAAGTATTAGAATACATAAAGAATTCTTACAACTCAACAATCAAAGAAGCACCAGTAACTCATTTAAAAAATAGACAAAGGATCTGAAAAAATATTTCTCAAAAGAAAATATACAAATGGCCAATAAGCACATGAAAAGATGCTCAACATCATTAGTCATTAGAGAAATCTAAATCAAAACCAAAAAGAGATACCATGTCACACTACAAGGCTATAATTTTTAAAAGACATAAAATGACAAGTACAGCAAAAAAATAGGATGAAAATGGAACCCTTTACAGTGCCGGTAAGAAGGCAAAAAGTTAAGCATAAAGCTACGATACGACCTAGCAACTCTACTCCTACATATATACCCAAAAGAACTGAAAACATATGTCCACACAAAAATCTGTACACAAATATACAGAGTAGCATTATTCATAATTATGCATAAAGTAGAACTATCTCAAATGTCCATCAATTAATGAAAGAATAAACAAAATGTAGTATAGCCATACAATACTATTCAGCAATAAAAAGGAATGAAGTTTTCATATATGCTACAATATAGATGAACACTGAAAACATTATACTAAGGAAGCCAGACACAAAGGCCATGCATTATCAGATTCTATTCATACAGAATGTCCAGAATAGGTAAATCCATAGAGACAGAAGGTAGATCAGTGGTTGCCAGGGACTAGAGGAAAGAGGAAGTAGAAAGTGAGTACTAATAGGTAGGAAGTCTTTTTCTGGGGGTGGTAAAAAATGTTTTGGAATTATACAAATGTTGATGATTGCACAACCTTGTGAGTATATTAAAAACCACTGAATTATACACTTCTAAAAGGTGAATTTTATGGTATCTGAGTTATACTTCAATTAAAAAATTTTAATTGGCTTTTTGATACAGGGTTTCAGTCTGTCGCGTAGGCTGGAGTGCAGTGGCACGATCACAGCTCACTACAGCTTTAATCTCCTGGGCTCCAGCAATGCTCCCACCTCAGGCCCCAGAGTAGCTGGGACAACAGGCACACACCACCATGCTCAGCTAATTTTTTTTTTTTTTTGAGATGGAATCTCACTCTGTCGCCCAGGCTGGAGTGCAATGGCATGATCTCAGTTCACTGCAACCTCTGCCTCCCAGGTTCAAACAATTCTCTTGTCTCAGCCTCCCGAATAGCTGGGATTACAGGCATGTACCACCACACCCTGTTAATTTTTGTATTTTCAGTAGAGATGGGTTTTCACCATGTTGGTCAGGCTGGTCTTAAATTCCTGACCTCAAATGATCAGCCTGCCAAGGCCTTCCAAAGTACTGGGATTACAGGCGTGAGCCACTGCACCCAGCCATATTTTAAAGAATGTTTTTGTAAAGATGAGGTCTCACTATATTGCCCAGGCTGGTCTCAAATTCCTGGGCTCAAGCCATATTCCCACATTAGTCTCCCAAAGTGTTGGGATTACATGTGTGAACCACTGTGCCTAGTTTCAATACAAATGTTTTAGTAGAACTAAAAAATTGAAGACTTCAAAGAAAGAATGATAAAAGTTACAACACAGTAACATGTATTGGCTCAATGAATTCACTTTTTCTAGTTGGTCTCCACCTTTCTCATACTACCTATGTGGCTGTAAGATTTTTAATTCTTGATATTCTACCACAACTAATTTAGAACATATTATACACTTTATTACAGTATCAAGGTGCCAATGTTGACTCATTAAAGTCTTGCAGGGCACAAACTAATTGCTTTAGTAATGTCCTGAGAATCTCCACAAGGAACTAACTATATTTCCTAAAGTTGCACTTTAATAGACTATACCATGGAAAATGGAATATTTAAAATTTAAAGACTGCTTAGATTTAAAATTGGTAAACAATATAATGATGACATCACTGATAGGTCCCCAGAAATCTGTATTTTGCCATAATATTCAGGTCAAAAAAGAACTACCAAAATATAAATTAATAAAAAAACAGACAGGGAAGGAAAGGGCTAAAGTTCAAAAAAAACTAAACACATCTTGGCTAAACAGCTGTGTTGAAAAACAATTTCTTATCTTTCAATTAAGAACCAATTTCTTTCTGAAAGACACAGGACATTGGGTTAATAGATTTCTTTAAAGGAAAATCTGTTTTGGCTACTGAAACATTAAAAGAACAGAACATCTGTTTTGCAAGTAAAGACAGATTGTGCAGAAGAATCAAATATCCACCAATTAGACTACCATTTAATCTGTTCTATTTAAATTTTCAATAAAAGTGAAGTTCAATTTTTGAAATTATAGTTCAGCTATAAATAGTTAACATCAGGAACCCCTAACACTGAGATGATCTTAGAGTATAAATAAGGTAATTATTAGTATAATTATTTTTAGTTCTACTTGATATCTATATCAAAACCAGGTTTTAAAGCACTATATATTCTAAAAATCATTTTTAAAGTATTATAAAAGGGAAAACTCACCATCCATGAATTCTGTACATATTGAAATCCTATTTTCTACAAAAAATGCTCCATAAAATCCAATGATATATGATGAATCACACTGTAACAAAAATAAGACAAAAGTAGCTATAAACCTGCGAGTCAATACTATAGGTATGCTTTACAAATAAAAATTATGAAAAAAATTACCTTATAAAGAATTTCCAATTCAGACATGATTTGCTTCTGAAGTTCCAGTGTAATATCTAGTAGTATGACCTAAATATAGAAAGGTATTAACATTTATTCATCTTCTAACTATATTAGCTGTACTCACCATGAAATATAAGTACTAAAAAAATGGTAGTTCGTTTATTCTTCTCCACTTCCTTCTGCTCACCACTATAATTCCCAGTAATACAAACTGTATCCTCATCTGTCTAACCTTTTGTCCTTTCGTACTGGGGGAGGTGGTACAGAAGTGATTGATGGGACCAAAGAAAAAACCCAGGTCTCAAAGGTCAGCAGTAATGGCTTTAAAAGTCAGTTAAGTTGTAACACTCTTAATTTATGCACCCTATTTTAGCCACATTGGCTATTTTCAAAAGAGGAACATAGAAATGACCCTGAAACCAACATGAAAGAACTGTCTTGACTGGGCACACGCCTGTAATCCCAGCATTTTGGGAAGGAGGCTGAGGTGGGAGTGTCCCTGAAAACCAGGGGTATATAACCAGCCTAAGCACCATAGCAAGATCCCATCTCTACAAAAAAAGAATAAATTATCTGGGTGTGGTGTGATCAGTTGGTCCCAACCAACTTGGGAGGCTGAGGTGGGAAGATCACTTGAGCCCAGGAATTTGGGGTTGAGGTGAGCCATGACTGTGCCAGTACACTCCCACATGGGTGACAGAGTGAAATCTTGTCTCTTAAAAAAAGAACTATCTTGTGACTTGTGATCAGACCCTAGGCAATAAGCAGAGAGGGCGATGAATAAAAATGACATTTTATTTATTTATTTATTTAGAGACACAGTCTCATGCTGTCACCCAGGTTGGAGTGCAGTGGGGTGATCTTGGCTCACTGCCACCTCTGCCTCCCAGGCTTAAGCAAACCTCCCACCTCAGCCACCCAAGTAGCTGGGACCACAGGTGTGCCACCATGCCCAGCTAATTTACTGTATTTTTGGTAGAGATGAGGGTTTCACCATGTTGCTCAGGCTGGTCTTGAACTTGTAAGCTCAAGCAATCTGCCCATCTTGGCCTCCCAAAGTGCTAGGATTGCAGACATGAACCACCACACCTGGCCGAACCATTACGTTTTTTTTTTCTTGAGACAGAGTCTTGCTCTGTCACTCAGGCTGGAATGCAGTGGCACAAACTTGGGTCACTGCAACCTGTCTCCTGGATTCAAGCAACCTCTGTCTCTTGGGTTCAAGTGATTCTCATGCCTCAGCCTTCTGAGTAGCTGAGATTACAGGAGCCCACCACCAAATCCAGCTAACTTTTGTATTTTTTGGTAGAGATGGGGTTTCACCACGTTGGCCAGGCTGGTCTGACTCTTGACCTCAAGAGATGTGCCTGACTTGGTCTCCCAAAGTACTGGGATTACAAGTATGAGCCACCATGCCCAGTAAAAAATGATATTTTAAATGGAGTTTTTAGTTATGAGAGAAATAAGTAGTTTTAAAAATATATTATCTTTTTTTTTTCCAGTCAGGTAATGTTCTTTGCTAATACTGTTATATAAAGTTAAAGCTTGAAAAAATCTTATTTCATCTAACTCCCTTCTTTTACTGAGGAATAAACCAGGTTTTCTTCCCAGGAGCCACAGAGCCTGGCAACGGCAGGACCCCCTCCTCTGGACTCAGTCTCATGGGCTTTTCAGTATATCATGGTTTATTTAAAATATCAATCACTGAGTGATATTACTCATAGTAATTTATAACCCACAAATATAAAATATTTATAAACTTTTATAGAATAAATTCTAGTTTATTTCAAACACATTATTTTTTAAGAAAGAAGACCATACTGTTCAAATTCTACTAAGCACATCAGTGAAACTAATTCAAGAGTAATTGCCTTTTCCTTTATTTATTTGTTTATTTTGAGACAGAGTTTTGCTCTGTCGCCCAGGCTGGAGTAGAATGGCGACATCTCCGTTCATTGCAACCTCCACCTCCGGGGATCAAGCAGTTTTCCTGCCCAGCCTCCTGAGTAGCTGGGATGACAGGCATGTGTCACCACACCCAGCTGATTTTTGTATTTTTAGTAGAGATGGGGTTTCACCATGTTGGCCAGCCTCGTCTCAAACTCCTGACCTCAGGTGATCCACCTGCCTCAGACTCCCAAAGTGCTGGATTATAAGCATGAGCCATTGTGCCCGGTCTGTTTTTTACTTTAAAAAGGCAGTGATAAGAATGAAATGGGTGGAAAGCAATTTTTATGATTTGTGGCAGAGTTTCTGACTCTAGACATTTCTAGATAAAAACTTAACATTTAGAATTACTATGATAGTATAGTTATATACCATTCAACTCTGAATTACATTTTGTATTACAAGAATATATATATATATATATAAAATCATACTAAAGAAAAAAACATATATTATGAATTGTAAGCTGCTGATAGAGCAAGGAAAGAAAGGGACAATTCTAAAGTACATTTGATAGTCCTGACATTGATTTGCAGGAGGGGAAGGTGAAAAACAAAGGCATAGGTAATTTCTATCAAGAGTTTGCTTTAGGGATATTTATAAAAGCTCTCAGTAAACTAGACTGTAAATGTAATACAAAACTGCCCAGAAATATTTAAACACTTCTCCTGATCAATAGTCATTTGCCAACAATATTTACTTACATTTTTGTTCTTGTATAAAACTTACCAACAAAATTAATTCATCTAGCATCAGTTCAATCCTATGCTATAAAATATTACAGCTATTCCTACTACGATGTCAAGTACCAGGAATCTCTCTAAAAAAACTCTGCTAAAAGGAATGAAGTTATTATTGACCTTAAATCAGCGGTTCTCAACCCTTGCCTCACATCATAATACTGAGGGCACTTAAAACAAAATTGCAAAGTGGAGGCCTTGCCCCAAACCAATGAAATGAGAATCCCTGGGGTTGGGCCCACATCTTTGTTATTTTGAAAAGCATCCCAGGTAATTCCTAACTCAGAGTAAAGTTAAGAACCACTTATTTAGGGTTTGAAAAATGGCATTTATTCAGGGCTAAGATATATGAGTATTAAGATATACTGCATCTCCAGGCCATCACCAACCTAGAAATGACATGATTCCACATTGCTGGCAAACATCCTGGAATTAACCCCGACCTACTAGCTGTGAATATATCATTCCCTTGATCAAGAACCTAATTGTGTTCCCATTGCCTACAATAATGTTAAAACTCTAGCATGACATTTAAGGAATTCTTCCACAATACAGACAACTTATTCTAACTCCTCTTCCCACTACTCCTACCACAAACCCACCCTTCATGTGAAATCAGATAACATTTCCTGGTATACACACATGTATCCTGTGCTTTGCCTACTTCCAGTCTTTGCTCCTGCTGTTTCCTCCACTTGGGGTGTGCTTCCTCTCTCCACTGCAGTCACTGTTTGGAAAAAAGCTGTTCTATCTTTTCGACCCAGCTTGAATGCCACCACTGCCTCCATGAAGCCCACCTCAAAGCCATCCATCAAAATTCACCTCCAGCTCTGGCCCTCGATATATACATTCTGCCTTGAGCATTCATTCCTCATCTCCTACAAACAGAAGCCTCAAGAATAGAGTGGCTAGAAGCCTCTCAAGGGCAAGGGCTGAGTCTTGCACATTTTTCTGTCTCCCCTAGCACTCCACACAAGATCTAACCTGGTAAGTGATGTGGGATTTAACTAAAGTCATTACAACTACATTCCTCTTTATAAGAAGCTGTTTCTAGACAGAAGAAATAGATGGCTTGATTTCTAAAACTGTATTTAAAACCAAAAACATACACCACCAAATAAAAATGCCACACTGACCTAAAATATAGTAAGAAACACTGTATTTGTAGAGCTAATTCATGGTATTCTATTTCATTTTGATCATTGTTGGTATTTTCTTTAGTCTAGAATAGAGGAGATTCCAAAATGATGAAAAAACCCAATAAAACAGTTTCTGGGAACTTGAGAGGGAAAGTAAAACACACCTTAAAATAACTCTACTCAAATGCTCTCCATTTTCTGGGAGACTTGGCACTCTGGGTGGAAGGTTAATTCTCCTTCCCCCCGGGCATTCTTGTGAGTGAGCTTTAAAATTGCTAAAAATAAACAAATCCAATTCCTTATTTGAAGGCAATGGTGAAAAGCATGGCAAAGACTAATTTTCTTTTTGAAGTACAAGGCAAGTATGGACTCCCTGAGTCTTATTTTTTTTCTCCTTAGGAAGTGCTAAATGTTGTAAACTGGAGAGAATTTAATATGAAGCATTCCATTGAGAAAGGGTTAAGTGAGAAACTGAAATACCTTAGTGCATTTCCACTAAGTGCTCTCCACTACACCTCCAGGACAAATAAGGATGAGTTGTCAAGTTAAATATAAGCAGTCAAGTGACTGAATTATAATTTACTCTGTGCTCAATTTAAATTAGTGTGAGGCTATTAAAATATACAGTATAAATACGGCAATTCATCACGAGCTGTCATGGATGACTTCATTTATTTGCCGGAGTGGCACACACTTCACTAAAGGGAAGGAGAGCAAAATCACAGGTCAAATTAAGCCGCTATTCTGTTTTAATTCACTTCTTTAATCTGTGGCGACATAATTGTCTTTTACAGTATGTACAACTCAGAAAGGAAATTTGGGAGGATTATAGTCAGTATACAAATGATTAATCAAATGGTCCATTTAAATGCTAGTTTAAAAACAGCAGAAACCCAAAGCAGTCAAAGAATGATAATCAGCACATGCAATATACAATGCTAAGAAATTTCCTGTTAGATGGATTTTTCCCATTTAGAGAACGAACAATAGCGGGAAATCTATCAAATCCTCCAAGCATTACTACTTGAAAGATTTTATAGAATACATTAATGGTATAAAAAGATTCTGTTTACAAGATGGCTAACAGTATTTTTATTTGTTTTCTGCTCTACTTATCTGCAGTCTTGACTACCTACACCAAACAAACACACAAAAAGGTAGAAACACATTTCATGAATTACAGATGGTCATTATGAAACGGTTACCTTTAAAATGTGATTAGCATCATTTTCAAAATGCT